TCCACGCGCCATCTGGGACCGGGTGCGGGGCAGAGGCGGCCAGCTGGCCTCGGCGGAGCTCTCTGCAGTGCCTACGTGCCCTCAGCTCAAGCCCTGGGTGCTCCCTGCTTCAGTCACCTCCCAGCAGAAAGTTACCCGATACTGCGATATGATCCCTTGTTCTCCAATTAGCTTTACATTTCACCACGCACACGCATTTCTGTTAAAATTTTATTCGGTAAAACACTAGTAAAACCGGAGTCTAGAAAATGCTTTTTAGCGCCTAGAGTACATTTCTCAGGTATATATATTACGTGCTGCCTTTAATAACAACAGACATTTGCTACTCTTCATGTTAGATGGAACTAATGTTTTTCCATCCATACCGTGAACACGTTCTCCAAACAGGAATTATCCAGTATTTTCCTTTAAACATTACACCAGCCAAATGCATGCTAGCCGATAACTTGCATCTCCCTGTAAATATATTACTCCCTCTATTTTTGCTGAATCATGAATTTTTTCCAAAGCTTATTGTATTTTACGTCTTCTTTAGATAAGCACTTACATATGTGGCCCTGCTGAGGGCTAAATCCCATTCTTAAATACCCAACAGCTGACTGCGCTTCCAACACGTTCTTCACTCTGGGAGCGACCCAGATCTCTGCGTTTGAGCCCCGCGGATTTCCAGGACGTGCCGGGGTGAGCCGATCCCTGATGACCCCTCACACGGCGCCTCCCACCTGGGCGCAGCCACCCACCCGTGTCCCCGGACCCACGCACGGCACTGCGCTGAGCGCAGACAATGGGCAGGGCTCTACCATTGTCTCCGGGCAGGAGGAGCAGCCCCCGCCCGGCAGGAGCAGCCCGAGATACCCGGGGAGAAGGAGCGGCGGCCGTGCCAAGCGGCCGAGCGGAGCGGAGGGCACACGCCGGAGTTCCCACGCTCTAAAGACAATTCGCAACGTCCCGGGAGCCGAAGTATATTTAGTCCAACAGTGGCACTGAGAACAGGGAGTGGTCTCGTAGCAACCTCTGTGACATGCAGAATAACGAGCGGCCGAACAATGAAGGTCCGTCTCTAGCCAACCGTGCCCCCTGGTCCTGAGCACCGATGCCTAAAGGAAGAAATTCCGCCGACTCTTGCACGCAACTTGAGGCCGCTTTCCTGCCGCTGTGCCAGCTCCGTGTCCCCGCTCAGAGCCGCTTCCTTCTCATTGTGAGCGAGGAAGATCCCCGCAGCCTGCCAGTAATTACCGATTGTCATCCTCTCTCACAACGCCATGTTGCTTTGGGAGTTCTTCGCGATGCGAAATCATCTGCCATCTCCTGGCGCAGCCCTTTGCCAACCCTTATAAAACAACAATAATAATAATAGTAAAAAGAAAAAAGAAAAGAAAGAAAAATATAACAGCTGGTTGTAACGTAAAGCTGCACCTCGTAGGTCGCTTTGCAAAGGAAACGTACAGAGTGTTGTGCCTATGCCCAGCAGAAGTGTCCTTATTCACCAGGTGCGAGTTCTCCCTGCCCGACAACCCCGGGTGTGCGGGTTCGCTGGGGAAACCCGGGGTGAGGGCCGAGTGGGCAGGGAATTGGTGAGTGGAGGGGCACGGCCAGGGCTGGGAGAGCCCCGGGAGCAGCTGGGGCATCCCCGGAGCCCGACCTGGTGCCCACCTGCTGCCAGGAGAGCCCCGCGCTCCCATAACCCTTTGGAAAGCGTTGCCTAGAAGGAATAATTTTGCGGTGAGGTGATGAAGGCACAAACGGACACGTCATCTGTACTTTGGATGATGTAAATATTTGGCAAATAAAGGAGAGGGAGCTTGTTTGACCCATTAACTTTAGTGGGAGGCTGGAGGGAGAGTGTTTCCGGGTCTGTAACTACCCCGGGGGTCACTAAAAGAGAGGTCAGAAGTTTGCTGAGGTTCCCCCTGAAGTTTGGACAACACCGTGTCCAAAAGCTACGCTATCTGTGGCATTTCACCATTAGATTTCAATCAAGTTCGCATCCTCAGGAGGATGGCAAAACCACGGCAAAAGGGGAAAAAAGAAAAACAAAACTAATCCAAATCCAAATCCAAAACCCAATAATTAGCAGCTGTGAAGAAATCATTAGGCATACAATGCTCTAATGAGAGAGTTAAGATGAAGTTGCATTTACTGGGAGAGGAGAGAAGGAGAGACACATTGTACTATATATACTTTTTACTATAACCACAGGATGGAAACCTTAAAAACTGTGAGCAAGAATATGCCAGCTAACATGAAAGTTGCCTATATAGAAAAAGAGAATCCCATATAATTCCACAGCGGAAATCAGTTAGCAAGTACCTTCTGCCCCTTTGCAAACATCAAATACTCCTGCCATATGTCCATTCTTATTTGTATGCTGGCTGAGAAACCTGAAATGTATACATGCGATATTAAAACAAAACATGAAAGATTTTCTTAGAAATCTGTGAAAGGGGAATGTAGTCCGAGGCAGGGGTAAAAGGAAGTAAAAGACCAAGTGATGCTATTGCCAAAACCTTTAATATTGAACAACGCAGCTGAAGCTTTTATCACGGTACGAAATTTATAGCCTAATAATTCAAACCTGTGTGCTCGCAACAAGATGTCTCTGCCTCTATCTGGGTATCGAAGGGATGGTTTTACTTTCTGAGGTGTGGATCATCCCCGCAGGTCCTGGCAGCCTCTGGGGACTGCAGGTGAGGGAAGGGCAAGAGGTAGGGAAAAGGAAAGAGGATGGGGGCTAGTTGGGATCTGAAGTGGATTCTGGTACATAAGGTGAGGACAAAAATGGGATCTCTGTTTAAAACAGTGAAGGAACCAGAATATAGGGAAAGCCCTGCCTGGAAGAATAAAAAACAAAAACCCAGAGTAGAATGTGTGGGGTCGAAGAGGATTAGTGTGAGTCCTTCCAAAATGGCAATCTCTGAGCCCACACCTGAGCATCTTCATCGTTTGGGCAGGCGATGGGACTACCTGTGTCCCAGCTGCTACACAACAGTGAGGTATCGGCTGGGAAGCTGGAGGTGAACATCCTGGGGGGGGGGGGGGGGGGAGGGGGCGGGCAGGAGGTGGGGGAGGAAGGTGGAGCGGGAGAAGATCCCTAAATGTGTACCCACATAGCTCCGAGGGAAATGTCCCGGGACTCGCTGCAGCTTGGCAACGCTCGTCGAGACCAATAGATCACCTGCTAGAAGGCGACACTTGGAAACCCCCCGCACGGGGTCGGTGGCTCAAGTGCCAGCATGTGTCACCCCTCACGGGGAGCTTCTCATGTCCTCTCCCTCCTGGGACACCCCATTCTCTCACCGGACCCGCGGTCGAGGTAGGCGCTAGCCGCGATTTAGAGCCCTCCCCGCCTTCTCTGCCCGCTCCCGGCCACATCCGCCGCCCAAGGAGCAGCAGGAGGGTCTCCAGACAATCTCTCGCCCCCTCCCGGAGCACCTCCCTGCCCGCCCCGACTGGTCCCGAGCCGCTCATCGATAACCATCGCCTATCGCAAGGGTAAACAGCGACAGAGCCGGCGGCACAAGCGAGGGAGGGAGGGAAGGAGGGGGAGAGCCTCGCCTGCCTCTGGAGCACCGCCCGTGGACAGCGAGCGAGTCGGCAGGCAGAGCCGCGCGGAAAGCGGCGGGCGGAGGGGTCGCGGGCGCGGGGCCGAGCCTGGTCTGGTCTGGGGGGGGCCCGTCCCGTCGGGGCAGGTCCCGGGCGGGGCCGGGTGGCGGCGGCGGCCTCCAATGGGGGCGAGCGAGGGCCGCTCCACGGGGCTGCCCGCTGCCCGCTGCTCGCTGCCCGCTCCGTGCTGCTCGGCGGCTCTCGGCGGGAGGCGGCGGCGGGGAGAAGCGGCCGGAGGAGAGGACGGAACCGGGCGGTCGAGAGCCGGTAAGCGCCTGCCCGGGGGCCGAGGAGGGCGGGCTGCAGTGGCGAGGCTTTCCCGCTAGATGTCTGTGCAGCTAATGGTTGCGGAGGGCTCTGCCCTGCCCGAGCATAGCCCCCGAGTGGGCGACCCTCCGGCCGCTTTGAACTCTGCCATCCTCGGTGCAAATTATATTCATTTTCCCCCTTCCAACCCCTTTTCTTTCTCTTTATTTTCTCATTCTTTAACGAGCTCTGTGCAGCTTAGTCTGGGATGAAACTCAGATTTCTCCACAGAGATGTACGATTCATGCTATTGGAATCCCTTTATGACCTTTGATGTGTTTAAATAACACGGTAAAGCTGTGCACACACCTCGGATTAAACTTTAATCATCCGAAGTCAAGGACGTCCAGGTGGTAAATAACTTTACTTTGACATTTCTACTTTAGAACAATATATGTTCCCGGTGCGGGTCAGAGACACATTCCCGTTCTTCTTGCCCTCAGAAGTGAAAATATGCTTTTGCCAATAGAGATTAGAAACTCGTTGCTCCTGTTACCTTACTACAAAACAAAACAAAAACAATGAGCTCCCTGAAAACAATGATCATAATAGAAAATTTTTAAAAAAGGAAAAAAAGAAAGGAAAACAAAACTAAACCAAGAATCATGGCCCCCAGGTTTCTAGTTCTGCAGTGTACCTTCAGACTCCTCACAGGACTCAGAAACCCTTCCTCACTCTTAAGCGCCGCTCTGCCTCCCTCAGCGTGTGTGCATACAGTGACCCATACAGAAATCTAGAGAAGGCTTTGGGATGTACATACACGTACATATATATGCATAGAATTACAAACATCGTAAAATTAAAAAATTTCTAGTTGGCCAATGCCTCGGCGCATTTGAGTGTTTCCTTCTCAGAAAGCCTTACCTTTGACAAGCTCCCAGCTCAGTGCTTAAACCTCTCCCTGAATCCTCGGCAGGATTTCCTTCTTGTCCCCACAGTGAGGACACGGAATGTGAGCCCAAGGTGAGCTGCTCCTCGTGAACAAAAAGTGCAGCAAATGATGTCTGTTTAATAGAAATCTGGAACTCTTTATTTGCTCCTCCGCTAGCACCTGGTTTTAAATCAGACAACTTTTGGTTAACACGTACAAGTGAGGGGGATTTGTGGGCCTTTTTATTGGCAATCAATCGGTGACAGCTAATTTTTGCGCTGATTTTTACCAATGAATACTTGCTTTGCCTCGGTGTATGCTTGGAAGCAGTGAAGCACAGGGAGTTAAGCCAAAGCTTTCACAGGGAGCCTTAGGTCCTGGGCTCTGTTGCAGGAAAGGCCCAAGCATGGGAAATCCCATCCTTTCAGAAAAATAAAAACGTTCTCATCACCGGTTTGACCCACAGAGGCTTTACACCCTCTCTGAAGGAAATTAAAATGTGCAGAAATACCGGGGAAACTATAGTAGAACCGGCAGGAGGGAGGTGGGCTCAAGCTGCAAACAGAGGGCTCCAGCGGGCAGCGCAGTCGCACAGGGAGGAAGGGTGAAATTTCGTCTCCACAGTGGAGTGGGGGCAAGTTCAATTCCTCGGGCACTGAGCGCTCGCAGCCCGGCGACCTTCACGGCACACAAAGAAGGAGATGAGCGAACGGCCGCCTTGGAGACGCGGCAAGAGGAAAGCAAAAAAGGGCAACGGCGCCTCCCTGCTGGGGTCTGCCCCTCGGCCCCGCCGGTTGAGTTGTCCCACGGGTCCCCGCGGGAGCAATGGGGCATCGAGGGGAAGAAGCGTAACGCAGCCACCAGGGAGAGCCGAGGCTATGCACCGACCTTGCAGAACGCCGGAGACCTTACAGCGGTCGTTTCGAGGCGTTCGGAAGCGTTCAAGAAGAAATCAAACATCTTCGCTCAGCTTCGTTTGGTAGCGCTGCGGATGGAGGAGCCCGAATCTCTGCTCCGCACTGCCCGGCAGCCGGGCGCTGCGCAGAGCGCGTTAGCTCCGCGGCCGTACCGGCGGCGTTATCGCCCTCTGTGTCGGCGCTGCTCGGCGCTCGTATCTGTGCGCTAAGGAGGTACGATCGCCATAACAGCAGCTCAGCGTTAGACAAAAGAGTGCTCCCTTATTTCTGAACGGTCCCGGGAAAATTCTCCCTAAAATCCCCAAATCCGTTTATTTAGCTGTCCGTTCTGTCCTCCGTTTTTGATTACGAACTCGTAATGTTTAGTGCTGGAAAAATGCATCGGTTGTTTTATACCCGGACAGAGCCTTTAGTTGTGAAACTCACCTCTTCTTAAAAAAAAAAAAAAAAAAAAAAGGAAATCTGGAAATAATTAACTCGTACAGTTGAGAACATTATGTTGCTTATACTGTAAACGTGTCCTTACACCTTTACAAGACGTTACAGAGGACTTACTCAACTAATTGAAACTGTTATATAGCAGCGTTATGTATTCAACATTCTCGTTACATTTCATCTTTATGGACTTAGGGTTTTATTCCTTTCACAGTCTTCTGATTTTTTTCCTTTTTATTTTTCCTTTTTATTTTTCCTTCTTATTTTTCCTTTTTATTTTTTTCTTTTTTTTTTTTTTCTTTTTTTTTTTTTTTTTTTAATTTTTCCCTCTTTTTCTTTCAGCAGCTGGACATTTCATCTGCAAGGAGGGACATCAGAAAGGTTGTGAATGCAGAAGAAATGCAGTATTACCTTCTCTATGGAAGGGTGAGGTGGATCATACCGTCACGGATAGAACACTGGGAAAAGAGCTGGCTGGGAAAGCATCAGCTATAACACAGCCAAAATACTTCTTCCCATCCCAACACCTGGGAGGGGAATGAACGTATGTGTACGGGAGGGTTTCTATGCTAACTGGCTCGGGTGGTGGGACCTCTTATAACAATAATAAAAGTTATGGTGATGATAATAATAATAATGATGATGACGAAAAGAACAATAATAATTGCGAAAACGGAACTCCTCCAGCTGCATCTCCTAGCAGAGGAGCAGGGCAGGGTGGGCTGCGACATGCACCCATCCTTCTGGGGATGGGAGATGGGCAGCCGAAGGGGAGGACGCGATGTCCGCACGAGAGGAGCCGGGGGCATCTGTAAGAGGAAGAGTGTGTCCGCACGGCCACCCGCTCCCTGCTTCTGCAGTCCGTTTGCCCTTCATGCCATGTGAGCCCACCGCGAGTCGCTCTCCCCGCTCCCACCGGGGTTCCGCCTTCGGGAGCTGATGGGGACTTTTGTTCAGCGAGGAATAAGTAGCACTCACATCGGTGGATACAAACGCCCGATTCACGGGAAATAAGGACCAGGATGTGGGCTGCGCTCTAGGCTCGTTTGTGCCGAAGACGCACTCCTGCACTGAATATATTATGTTATTTTCAGAGCAGGGGACATGGGGCTCCTTCAGATGAATAGAGGTTTCTCCCGCAGAGATCGCCCCGAAAAACTTCTGCCCGATTGATGACTAAAGGCAAATGCGTGTCAGGAAGACAGGCAAAGAGAAGAAGGAAAATCCCCGAAGTATCCAAAGGGTCACTTACAGAGGGAGGTAGGCGCACCGCACTCACGTCTACAGTCCGATACGCCACGGATGTGTTTGTCGATGTGCGGGAGTGCATGTTCGAAATGTTGTTTTATGCAAAAGTGTTTCGAAGGGCTCGCGAGGAGGCCAGCCAGAGCAGCACATGGAAACCTGCAGCCAGGCGCTGTGCCCAGAAGCCGTGCCGCAGTGCCGTGCCCCCAGCCGGCTGTCAGAGCGAGGACCCGCCCCAGCGAGCTGGGGACAAACCTGCTTCAAGCCTGTCACCCCGCGTGCTTCAAAGCGAGGTGCGGCGGGGGCAGGGAGGGAGACAGAAAGCGAAGGGAAAGGGGAAAACCCCGCGGAGGCGACGGGGCGAGGGCACCCGACGGGGAGCTGCGGGCGCGGCTGCGGGCGGGCCTCGGGCCGCTCAGGTGCCGGGGTTTCGCGGCCGCGTTGCCTTCTCCGCGCTCCACGGGGCCCCGCGCAGGGCCGGGACGCCCGGTGCAGGTGAGGTTCCCGGCCCAGGAGAAGAGGGGAGAGCGGCCGTCGGCACATGTGCGCTGCACACACCGGCGCTGTCTCCTCTCGACAAAGAGGACCCGTGATTAATGCCGACGGACAGCTCCCCGCGACCCCGCTCCCCCTCCCCTTTTCTCCTCCCCTCCCGCCCCCTCCTCCCGAGGTCCTCCGCTGGTTTCAATAAAAGGCAGGATCCGAGCTTTCTCTCGTTCGAGCCGAAGAGGTGTTGCGATTGGCTGAAACGAAGGGCACGCGGGGTATTTGCAAAGATATTTCCAAACAATACTCGGCCGAGCCTCCCGAAGTTCCTCGGGAAGCGAGCATTGTCTGGTAAAACAATGACAGAAAATAAATCAGTCGTCGGGGTCCCCGTCGGGATCCCGGGGGTTTCAGCCCGGCTCGGTGGCTCGCCTTCCCAGGCTCTCCTACTCATTAGAAGGTTAATAAGAGGCGCCGGAGACTTACCCCGGGGTAATGGCGGGGGGACAGAGCTGCCGAGCCCGCGGCACGGGGGGCTCTGCTAACAGCCGTCTGCTCCAAGCGGCTCCGCCGCGGAGGGGCCGTCCGTGAGCACCGGGGCGCGACCGCGCCGCTCCGCGGGGCTCGGAGGGGGCATCGCCGCCTGGGGCGTGGGGCGCCGGGCATGGGCTGCCTTCAGCGCGCTGCTCGGCCGCGGCCAACGAGTATTTTTCTGGATGGTAAGGGGGCGCAAAGCCTCTGTGCGAGAGTGGTCTTGTGCGTGCGGTAAACCGGAGGAGTGTTTCCCTTCGGAGTAATATGGAGTTTATCAACTAAAAACCGAGCAAATAAACCTCGAAACTTTATTCTGGAGCGCATTTTATACCCGAAAGACCGAATTCTCACGTCTTCACAGAGGCCTATAAATCTTGCTTTGCACCCGCTTACCCTTCCGAAAGAGATGGTGGAGCTGTGAGGTACTTTTGAACACGCTCTGCTGAGCCCCACACCTCACCGTCCCCCCTGAACGGTGCGAATATTCTGCTGCCTCGCTTGAATGGAAGCGAAGATTTTTATGGCCTCCACCGCGACTTCAATTGAAGAGTTTCACTTGAGATCAGTGCCCCAGAGCTACATTTTCCGCCGGGGAGCTCAGAGCCCTGCACAGAGCCGCTGTTTTGCAGGTCAGTGCCCTCGTACCACACAGCTCTATCGACTGTCACTCCCAGAGTGGCATTTTCAAACGGGATTTCACTTCTAAGAGGACACTCGTTTTCAATCTTGAGAGGTTCAAGCCCAAGGTAGAGCTGTCTAGAGATAAGTAATCCGCCCCAGTGCCCAACTGTTAATGAACAGAATGATCCCACTTTCATCTCGCCCCTCAGAAATATTTTTGCTTAGAAAGGACTGGCTGCTAATTGGGGTGTGCAGTTGCCTTTAATCTCCAGCACAGCTCTTGGAACCTACCCAGAATGAATTAAAATAAGTCTGATAAACAAGAAGTAAACATGGCTTCCCAGTAAAACCCGTTTTATGATCACAGCTTGTGTGCCACCTCCAAATATTAGGTTTAGGCATTTAGGGCATAAAGAGCAAACCCCTTTTCCAAAGCCGCTAATGCTCACATTTGGTACTGTTTTAATCTTCCCTATTAGAAGTACAAGGAAGGAATAACTTTTGTTCCAGTAAACTCTAGATGGAGTACAAATTTGCATGTTTACACATACTTTCTACTCTGGAACGATCCCCTAAATCTATGGATAAACACATGTATTTTTTTTTTTTTTTCTTCCCTGAATGCAGCCTGCGGGAGAGTGATTTTTTTCTCTCTCTTCTGCATTTCTGCTGGCAAGGAGAGAGAGCAGAGCCTGTGTAGAAGCGTGTGTGCGGGAGGGGCTCCGTCTCGCACCTCTGCAGACTTTCAGGTTTATACAGAGCGAGACGGCAGGGACCGCCGCGCCGAGCACCCACAGCCCCGGGAGCTGCGGGTCCCGCTCTCACTGCAAAGTGCTGTTTGCTGTTTATCGGCTTGTTTCTTCTATTTATAGCCTTTCTACCGAGCTCGTCCCCGGAGCGTGCCCCCTGCAGCGAGATCTGGTTTCGTGGGCGCAGCCCCATCCTTCCCCAGCAGCAGAGCGTTGCAAATGCCTCCTGCTAAAAAGGAGCGAGCCTGAGCCGCAGGATCCCGTTAAGGACCGGAGTCCGCCCCTGTGCTCCCGGCCAGAAACAGCACAGCCCCACGAGCCCCAGAGCTGCTCGACAGAGTTGAAACGCCTCGTGTTTGTCAAAGGATTTCAGAAAACAGGTGAAGAATTAAGATAGGACTTAATGCCGTGCTTATCGCATGTAAATGAAATATTTAATCTGCCATTTCATCTCCCCTGTGTGCTCAAACACCTCCAAAAGTTCTTTGAACAAATATTTAGTTTCCAAGCTATAAATTCGTCTCATGCAAAGAGAAAGCTTTCAGGATCTCCAGTTTAAACTCGTTCCTACCACTTGTTGTGGTGCTGGGAATTATCAAACCGGTCAGCTTACCTTTCCCACGAGTGGTAATTAACAGAGAGCTGGGGGGCGTGGGGGGAGGAATAAAACAGGCAATAATTGCATTCAAATACTGGGAGCTCACAATTTGTGATCAGCAGCCTTCCTACTTCATTTATTTATTCAGTTGATTATTATTACCATTTTTATTCTCAATATCTCCACAGCAACCCTGCACATAGGGTAACCCTGCAGCGTCTCAAAATCCCCTGATTATTGTCAGGAAGGAAAATGGAGAAATAAAACTGTGTGTGTGTGGGGGGGGGGGGGGGGGAGAAACCTATATGTCATTCTATGGTCTGTCAGCGTAGTTATCTAAATCGAGAGCTTCTTTTCCTAGTCTTTCTGAGATCCAAGAAAAGCATGTGAGGATTGCCTGCTCTTTTAGCATGATGGTTTGGAATGGGATGGAATGGGATGGGGCAGGGAGGGGGGAAGGAGGATCCTTCTGAAAGTCTCCCATGGAGGCA